ATGTCCAGGTTATTCATAGAGGAGGGAATCTAATGACAAATATGTTTATGAAGAAAAGGCTGAATTTTACTTTAAGTAAATGACACTGCAAATTAAAATCAGAGTTATATACCTTTTATTACTTTGACAGGAATTTTAAAAGAGTAAAGTGAATAAAAAATAGTGCTGATTATGTACAAAAAAACATGCATTATCCAACATTAAGAAGACTCGCTGCAAACATATGCCAAAGCCTATTAAGACACACAGATATGCCTATGTTTTAAGGAGCAAAAGGTAGTTTTCTCAGTCTGGCTTCTTTCACACTGAGGTGCTTGCTTCCGCCTCATGGGAGACTCGATGGACATGGACGTGAGCCCTCTTAGGCCTCAGATCTACCTTTTTGGTCGGGAACGAAAGGTTGACAAAGATTACCGCTTTACAGTGGATAACGACGAAGATGAACGCCAATTATCACTAAGAATTATCAGCTTGGGGGCAGGGACAATTGCAGCATAGGAGGCAGGCACAATTACAGTAACACTGGCAACTTTAAAAATGTCTCTTCAACCCTCAGTTTCCCCTGGGGATTTGAGATTCCACTGCCTGAGGCCTTAAGTGTGGTTTAGGGCATGTGCTATTAATGGACAGCACCTAGCAGCTGGGGAGGAAGTTGTAGAGTCAGAAGATAAACATGAGGAGGATATAAAAATCATGTCTGGAAACCGATCTGCTCCTGGAGGTGGTAACAAGGTTCCACAGAAAAAAGTAAAACTTATCAAAGATGAAGAAGAAGATGATGATGATAATAATGATGAAAACAGAAGAAAACGTTCCAGTGAATAAATCTGTACAAGATACCCCAGCCAAAAATGCACAGAAATCAAACCAAAATGGAAAAGACAAATTCATCAACACTAATATCAAGGGTAAAGAGTTCTGCAAAAGGCAGGAAAAAACTCTAAAAACACCAGAAGGACCTAGCTCTGTAGAATACATTAAGGCAAAAATGCAAGCAAGTATAGGAAGAACATGACCACTCATGGGCACTACTGGTAAATTTAGCCAAAAGATGGGGAAAGAGGAAAAGGAGAAAGAAATAGAGTCTATACTTAAGTACCATCAACAATTCAGAATGAAGTCTTACTAGTTTCGCTTAATTGCCTTTTTTGATTAACCAACCACCCAGTCCCTGGCACGCCACAAGAAATTTCTTGTTTTCAAAGCATTTTCTTTCACTCTATTGATTCTATTGATGCAGAGAATTTTACTGCTTTCTACTATTCATGCGTATGTTTTATGTCTTTGGCCATGTTTTAATGTCTTCATATCCTGCTCAATAAATTTTCAAGTAAACAACAACAAAAAAACAACAAAGAAGATAAAAAAACCCAACAAAAACAAAAAGTCAAAAACCAAAACCAAAACAAAACCAAAGAAATATGGCTACTTTGAGCTACAAATTACACTCTGGGGATACTTATCACACAGTCTACTATTAAAAGCACGAGGACATAAGCATATGTAAACAAGTATGTTTACTGATAGCTTTTTCTAGGGAAAGAGCTGGTAATCACATGAATGTCTATCAGTAAACAACAGGGACAAAATCTAAGGCATGGAATTTCCAAACTATGAAAAAGTGTATGCACTTGGAATTAAATAGAGTATTTTTTTTTTGGAAGGAGTGTTGAGTAATGGTCCACTCTCAGGATGGTGTTAGAGATAATGACTAGTGTGGTGAGCAGGTATAGGGATTTAGCTAAGGAGCCACACATTCAGTCCAGAGGGAGGAAAATACACTTCAATTTACTTGAATACTGAAAACACTGCAATAGAAAGAATATAGGTATTATAAAGAAAAATATTTATTCAATGACCAGATGTGCAACTCATAACTTAGAAAAATAAGAAACATGAAAAACAGAGCACAACTCTGCCCCAATAGCCAGTTCCAGTGTGAGCTAAGTGGATACAACATCAAAGGGTTCAAAGAACAAAGTCCAACAGGGCAAGAATAAACTCATGAATTTCAAAATAAATGAGAACAGTTAAATAAAAGGTCAAACTCAATGGAGAATATGGTAAAATCAGACAATAAAGATAAAATTAAAAGAACAAACAGGCCTGCAAGGTCTCTGAGTCAGCATTAGAGGATTGTGGTGAGTGAGCAGAACCGTTCCCATAGGCTCACAGTTGGAACCCTTGATTCCCGGTCAGTGGAACTGTTAGAAAGGGATTAGGAGGTTGTTCTGGTTGAAGGACGTGTGCAGTGGGGCTGGGCTTTGATGTTTCAAAGGACTCACATCATTTCCAGGATGCTTTCTCCCTACCCCCTACTCGCAGATCAAGACATGAGCTCTCAGCTTTTCCGGCCACTATGCCTCTGCTCTGCCATTAGAGATACTAACACTCCAAAATGCTGAGCCAAATATAGTTGTCTAGCCATTGGTGGTTTGTAAGAGCAAAACAAAAAATAATTAAGACATAAGTTGGTACCAGAGTGTGGGCTATGGCTATGACAGACCTGATCATGTGGGGTTTTGGAGGAATGTGGAAGATTGTAGGATTTGGGGCTAGAAAGACAGTTGAGTGTTGCAAACAAAGCTTAATGGACCATCCTAGTAGAATCATGGAAGACAGCAGTGCTTAAAGCAACATGGACTATGGAAGCCCAGCTGGAGAGGTTTTCAAGAGGATCAGTATTAGCAACTTGGCTAGAGACTATTCTCATGATATTTTGGCCCAAACTGTGGCTGCTTTTTTCCCTTATCCTAATGATTTGTCCAAGGCTAACCCAAAATGTAATGAACTAATTATTTTGTGAAAAAATATTTAAAGACAACCTTATATCACCCCTGAGATGTGGGTATAAGAAATAAAAATGTAGCATGGCAAAAGTAACACAATTACAGACTAGTAAATCTTGAGAGATTAACCATATGGCCCTTGAAGCATCCCTAGTTTTTCAGCTGGGAAAAAGAATTATTAATTGCCAGAAGAAAGGAAGTAGTATTGTTTCTTCTATACAAGACAAAGTAGAAAAGGAGATAAATGCACAAGTAAAGACAACCCACAATACACTGAAAAATAGTCAAAACTTTCAGGTAAAATATGGTATTGTGTTGACTTCACAGTCTAGACATAACTTAGAGAATGAATAGAAAATCAGAAAGCAGTCAGCACGCTGTTCACAGTTGATATGATTAGGGACTGGTAGCATATCCTAACTTCTCTACAAACTTTGAAGATTTGGGTGAATAGTTAATGCATTATCTTGAGATCATATTAATTTCCTCTTGATATATGGTTTTTATTATAGTTATAGTGTTTACCTAGGTTTTAGGTATTTTCTAGCCTAATCTGGGGAACTGCAATATATATTTGTACCACTAGATGGCAATATGTGACTTTGCAAATGGGTATGTTCCACCACTATATGTACCCAATCAAATCTTTGGTATCCAACTTTCTCCACCACCCACGAAGGTGAATAACAGTTGCCAACTAGAAAAGATATTTGCATTTCAAGCACGTTCCTCAATTGTACATTTTTAGATAAGAGTTTGAGGAAAACAGAAAATCCGATTACATCACACATATTCTAGCCATATCATATTTTGTATTAAAACAAATAAAGGTAGCTATCTAAAGTCAATAACACTAAACCAACTGCAACACTTAAATGCTGTTTCAAAAGAAAAAAAATTAAAGACTTGGTTATTAAAGACTTTTCAGCAATTTGTGAAAAAATTGAATAATACTATAATCAAAAATAACACACCAATGACCTGGGTAGTGGTCGCACATGCCTTTATCCCAGCACTTCTGATCATCTTGCCAGATAAAATCACAAATCTGCATGCACCAACTATAGTAGTAACTTTTAGTTTTGCTATGGAAAAAAGCCTGAGAAAATCAGCTTAGCGAAGCAGGGTTTCCTCTGGTTCACACTGAGGTTACAATCCAGGACCACGAATCAGAGGGAGGGTCCGCAGCTCAGAGTCATCCTGGTTAAATTTCAGACAAATCAGTCCATGCTGGTTTCTCGGCTCTGTTTCTGAGCACACCTAGCATGGTTTGGGAGTGACTACATTTCCACTGCCCCTTACTGTCTGGGTTCTACCAAAATGGAGCTTCACCCTCACAGCCAACCTGCCTAGGAAGCGACAAGAACTGGTACCATGGGGACAGGCTCAAACCCTTGGAGAGGATGTCTTCTGAAGAGACTTCCCATTGGTCATATCTCAGGTACATAAAATAGATTTTTAAAAAAACTGACCACCCAACTAGATATATCAACATGCCCTGGGTTTGCAATAAATTTTTGCTTTCTTCAAGAAAACCTTTGTAATGCTTTAATAGTTTTCTGCATAAGAAAATAGAATATAAAAGAATAATATTGGATTTGCTTACAAAGATGGGTTACTCTGCTTATCGATGGCTCACCAAATTCCTTCTTAAAATATGTTAATTTTTGGTAGAAAATGCTTTCTTTTACCCTTTTCTTATTCAAATAAAGAAAATTCCTTATCATTATTTTTTTTTATAAATTTCGCTCTTTTGGCATAATTTTAGCTCCATCAGGACAATGTATCCTCTATCATATCCACCTACTCATCAATGAGGCTAAGGGACTTCGTCCAACAGCAGTAAATACTTAGCAGTAACCCAGTAACCAAGAGCCGGAAGATGAGAAAACCAATAGGAATTCAAGATGAACAGATTTTCTTCAGGGTGACCACACAGACACTGCTCTTTTGGGCCACAGTACAGCACATCCAAAACAACACTAAACTGTTTTAAACAAAGGACAATAAGAGAACTCTTCAATTCCTAACTAATTGAAAACAATTCTGTAAGTTTCATTACAACCAAGACTAACTTCAGGAAGTAGACCATAACCATTTTTAAAATATGACATCAGTAGAATTGATAATAGATTTTTCTCTCAAAAAAAGGAGCAAATTTGTGCCCTCCCAATCCATTCCCCAAGTAAGTAAATAGCAAGGCTTACTCACAGTTCACAATGTCACCTTGAAGTTCCAGAATCTGAGGAGCTGGCATGGTGAGGACAACAAGGTCAAACTGCTCGGGGGAGCCTGTCTCCTTGGAGACTTCCCACTTGTTATTTCTCAGGTTGATCTGGGTCACACAGTGTTTGAAGAAGATTTCTGCACCTGCTCCAAAGGCAAAATCAGGTCGGTCCTTGTTATCAGGATTTTCCACACAAATGATGAGGAAATGAAAAACAAAAGTCGATTCATTTAGGTGAACAAACCTAATCCTAACCTTATCTTCTGTGTCGCATCTTTCTTTTCTCTCTACTCAATAGTATTTACTCCTTTGACCACCTGTTCCCCTGGGCCTCCAATCAACATTCGTTATGAAGGAAACAATTATACAACAATACTACAATGATTACTACTACTTCTAAATCCATTTCTACTACTACTTCATGGCCAGCTTTCTTTGAAAATTTGCTAGCTCCCACTAAATCAACTGAGCAAAGCTCATATGAATGCACAGAGTCTGAAGTAGCATGCACAGGGCCTGCATAGGTCTGCACCAGGTCTCTGCAAATATAATATGGTTTTCAGTTTAATGTCTTTTATGGAACTCATGAATATGTGAATCAAGATATATTGTATGAAAAAAAGAATCTATTTTCAATAAAATGGAAAAATACTTATTAGTTTGTCTTAGTTACTTTTCATTGCTGCAGAGAGACACCATGACCAAGCAACTGATAAAAGAAAAGAAAACATTTAAGGGAATGGGTCTTGTTTACGGTTCCAGAGAGTGAGTCTATGCCTATCATGGTGGGAAGCATGGCAGCAGGCAGGTATGGTACTAGAGAAGTACTTGAGAGTTTATGTGTTGAGACAACAACAAAGAGGCAGAGGGAGAGGACTAACTGAAAATGGTTGAGCTTCTGAAACTTTAAATACCACTTTAGTGATTCACCTCCTTCAACAAGGAGATACAACCAAATTTTACTCAAGCAGTCCCACTAACCAGGACTATGCATGGTGTGACTGGTGGCCTGCCTGTAATTCCAGAGCTCAGGAGGCAGAGACAGGAATCCTGGGGAAAAGTTGATCGGCCAGATTAGCTGTATATCAATCAATGAATGTTGGGTTCAACTGGAAGACACTGTCCCAATCAATATGCACTGAGTGTATGAGGAAGACTCCTGATGTCAGCCTTGAACCTACACATGCTAATATGTACACATACGTCCCCCAAACATACCCATACACATGAAGAGATGAATACATACACATCTGTATACCATACACATCTACACCAGAGAAAAAAGTACTTTTATTCATCTTCATGGATGGGGAAATGATAATACAAGGGGGCGACTCAAAAGCACAGTGAAAGTCAATGTTTATCATCACCCGGGGCATTTCATGCTCCTAGGCACTAAAACTCCAGCTTCAGTCCAGCTTTATCCATGGAGCCTCCCTCCATTTTACAGAAGTCCCAGCTCAGCCTGGTCCTTCCTCTCTCTGAACCTATTAGATACAGTACTTGAAGTTCTAGTTAGAGCAATAAGGAGATCAAATGGATACAAATTAGAAAAGAAGTCAAACTTTCGCATTTGCAGATGATATGTTAGTATACATAAGTGACCCCAAAAATTTGATGAGGGAACTTGTACAGCTGATCAAATGTAATGCGGCAGGACACAAGTTAAACTCAAAAATATTAGTAAGCCCTCCCATATAGAAATGATAAAGTTGCTGAGAAAGAAATCAGAGAAATGTCATCATTTACAATAGCCAAAAATGATATAAAATATCACGGAGTAACACTAACCAAAGAAGTGAAAGACTTGTACTTTCAAGACAAGAACTTTAAGTCTTTGAAGAAAGAAATTGTGGAAGATATGCTCTTAGATAGGTAGGATCAATATAGCAAAAAATGGCAATTCTACCAAAAACAATCTACAGATTCAATGCAATCCCTATCAAAATCCCAGTACAATTTTTCACAGAACTTGAAAGAACAATACTCAACTTCATATGGAAAAACAAAAAACCTAGGATATCCAAAAAAAATCCTCTACAATAAAGGAACTTCTGGAGGCATCGTCCCTGACGTCAATCTCTATTATAGACCTACAGTAATGAAAATTGGTATTGGCATTAAAGCAGACAGGTGGATCAATGGAATTGAATCAAAGACCTCAACAATTGATCCACACTTTTGAACACATGATTTTTGACAAAGAAGCTAAAATTATACAATTTTATTTATTTACTTATATTGAAAAACACATCTTCAACAAATGGTCTGGTATAACTGGATGTCAACATGTAAAAGAATACAAATAAATCCATATCTATCCCCATGCAAAAAACTTAAGTCCTAATGGATCAAAAACCTCAACATAAATCCAGCCACACTGAATTTAATCAATGAAAAAGTGGGAAGTAGCCTTAAAAGCATGGGCACAGGAGACTACTTCCTAAATATAACACCAGTACCACAGACACTGAGAGCAACAATTAATAAATGGGACCTCCTGAAATTGAGAAGTTTCTGTAAGGCAAAGGGCACAGTCACTAAGCCAAGCATCCATTTCTAATACCTCATGTCTTTCACTGTCCCTTGAAGAATGCTTTGCTACAGTAAGCAATCAAATGTTGTAAATAAAATGTAAATATTAGAGGGGTCATAGTGCTAACTGGGTCAAGGGGTCAGTCTTGCTTCAGGCAGTGAGCATTGTTCTGTTCAAACATGAAGGCAAGAGGGGGTGCCAAGGTGCCTGAGATCTTTCCGATGTCGCTACTTTGGGAAGGTACAAACAATTTTCACTTTTAACCTTATCCACCATTTCTTTATCCTAACAAAGCAATTCTGTTTAACTTTTTGACTTATTTGAAATATCTTACTAAGTTTATTTTACTCCATGGTCTCTTCCGGAACCCAATTAAAGCAAATAATTCTATTTTGTTTACATTATCCTCTAATAATAATCCTTTAGGAGAGAGCTGTTATTGTTGGCTCTGTCTGACGTGCGTGTTTGTGTGTGTGCGTGTATGTGTTTATGCATGTATATGAGTGTGTGTTTATGTGTGTGGTGATATGTATATGTGTGTGAAGATGTGTGTGTGTGTGTGTGTGTGTGTGTTTAAATGGGATTAAAATCCACAAGCCTATAAAGTTCTCCATACTTCCGCAGAAATTCTTGGACATCAAGTCTGACGGCTCAAGGTGTTCTATAGGGTGAACATCAGAAGTGTTGTAAATGCTAACCCGAGACAAGCAGTACCAGTAACACATGTGCACATCCCAGCCTCCAAGCAAGTCAGAAAAATCTATAAACTCCAAAGATTAGGTATAGAAGCCTTTGTTTTCAAGCTCCCTTATTGAACAGGATAAAGAATACCACATGAAAATAAGTGCAAACTCATTGTGGTAGTTGAGCAGAACCAAAGCTAACACGACTTCTGCAAAATCCACCCTGCAATCCATATTTACAAAGGATTGAAGTTTCCAGGAAGGAAGAATTTCTTTGTGGCAGTAATTAATAACCTCCATAAGGCACCAAACATTATATTTATACATGCTCTGGAAACTCCCACGTGGAAACAGAAAATACACATGTTCTCAAGAGGCACTCTGAGCTCAGGAAATGTGATCATGCATAGACTCCGTGAAGAAAATCTCCAGTGGCTTCCCACCACACTTAACAATACATTGTAAAATCTTCTAACACCACTTACAAAACATTTATGCCAAGCTTAATCTTGTACTTCAATTTGCCACATTCTCATTCTAACTACTCCCCAGCCATAGCTAACTTTTAATTTCTTGAATGCAGTTTGCTGTGTCTGCTTCATGACTGCTCCAATTCCTGCTCCGTGCAACTCTAACCCCTTGGTTCTTGCCCTACTTCACACTTGTTGACTTTGAAAGTATCTGTGAAATATCAGTTCCCTGTTGACACTCTCCTTGACATAATCTTTTCAGTTCACCCCTCTGTAATCTATGTTATATTAGGTATTATTACTAAATATTCACTCCAAGTGCTCACATCTCATCCTTTTTAGCAATTACTATACATCTTTTTGGGGGGAGAGACAGGGTTTCACTGTAGCTTTGGAACTAGCTTTTCTGAAACAGGATGTCCTCGAACAACTATACATCTTTTATTAAAGGAACAGTTTAATGTCTCTCTACCCTATCAATGCATTCTCATTAATAGGCAAGAACCCAGTTGCACTTTTTCTATTCTGTCAAAAGAGGGCAGCAATGCCCCAAACCCGAGTTAACTAACTAATGAGTTTAACTGGGAGTACTAAAAGCAGCTACAGTAACCACTTAAAACATGGTCAGGGAAAGGTGGAACTCATGCCCCTCCTGAGCTCTTCGTGATGTCTTTACCACCAGTTCAATGGAGAAGTATGTCTGGGAAATGCCTGTGAGAGTCTTGGACAGATAATCATAGCTGGCTAAGATTTGAAAGACTTAACAGCCAAGCAATACCCAGAGGACAGGGTTCCATAACATCCAGTACATGCTATTTAATGGGAACTTTTAATTTTGTACATAACTATATAGATAGAGGACTAGCAATGTTTAATCATTTTATAAAATTAAATCTCTCTCTCTCTCTCTCTCTCTCTGTGTGTGTGTGTGTGTGTGTGTGTGTGTGTTTGTGTACACACACTGATACCTAGCTATACTCAAGCACGTGGAGGTCAGAAGGAGTCTATCAGATGCTTTCTACCTAATTTTTTGAGGAAAGTTCCTACTGAACAAATAGCTGGCCATTTCAGCTAGCCAGCAAATTTTTCTTGCATCATTTCCCATGGATTAGTTTTAGTAAGGAGCACCTGGAAATGCTGAGATGAGACCTGAAGACACAGAAGAGCTCTCTAAATGTACTGATTAAAGTAGACAATGCAATAGTCACATAGATTTTGTACTACTTTATAGCATCCCTTGAGAGAACACTGTCCTGAATAAATGTCATCATTACTTAGCTGGGAGAACTGTGATAGAGAACCACACAGGCTCACTTCCCTTACGTCGATTTTAGAAAAAAGTAAACAAACGGAAAGGGAAGATAATGAGAGGTAAATATTACTATGCAAAAGTCCTCAGAGCTGACAGCATCTGCAAATTAAACCAGCTGTCTTTCTAAAATAAATGAATCTTGTCTACTTTGACAAGTCATACTGCATACAGTGACTTTCCATATTGCTGACTAATATTATTGTGAAGGAATATGATACAGGAAAAATTAATGCATTGATATTCCCTTCTGTTGATAGGACAGCACAAATAAAAACTTCTAGTCCAGAGATCCAGAGGATAAATTCATCTTCTTATGAATTTGGGGAATACATAAAGCACTTTTAAAAGTTGATGCAATATTCTCTGCCCTAGGTAGAGTTACTAATGCTGGAAGAAAGAAACACCATGACCAAGGCAACTTGGGGAAAAGGGTTTATTGCAGCTTACAAGTCCAGGTTGTTACCATCAGTTCATCTGTCATCAGTGAGGGAAGTCAGGTCAGGAATTCAGACAGTAGCTGAAGCAAATGCCATGGAGGAGTGCTGCTTATTGGCTTGCTCATCATAGCTTGCTCAGCCTGCTTTCTTACAGGACACAGGATCACCAGTCCAGGGATGGTGTCACCCACAACACACTGGGCCCTCCCACATCAATCACTAATTATAAAAATTCTTTACAGTCAGATATTGGGCCATTTTTCGCATTTGAGGTTCCCTCTTTTCAGGTACTCTAGCTTGTATCACGTTGACTTAAAACTATCTAACATACTCTCCAGATGCCATATTCAGAAACTTGGTGTAGAAGGTTCTTCTGTCTTTGTGTTGCTTTCATTGGTTAATAAAGAAACTGCTTGGGCCTGTTGATAGGGCAGAACTTAGGTAGGTGGAGAAAATTAAATGGAATGCTGGGAGGAATAAGGCAGAGTCGGAGAGAAGCCATGGATCCTATGCCTGAGACAGATGTAGGTTAGAATCTTTCCGGTAAGCCACTGGCACGTGGCGATAAACAGATTAATAGAAATGGGTTATATTAATATAAGAGGTAGCCAATAAGAAGCTAGAGCTAATGGGCCAAGCAGTGTTTTAATTAATACGATTTCTGTGTGATTATTTCGGGGCTAAGCTAGCCGGGTGGCCAGAACAAATCAAGCGGGCCCTCCTGTTACAGAAACTAGTAGGTAATTAGTCTTCCAGACTATATAAAGAAACATGACAGTAACATCCTTTTGGAGCCAATAACTAAATGATAAAAGGTCAGTGCACTATGAAGCTATTGACTTGAGCCGTATGTTCACCAACATATATGTCCAGACAGTATGAGACTTAGCCTCAAAATATAGGAAAAAAATCAAAGGGGGAAGGAAAGGCCTTTAAAAATAAATGTTGAATGGGAAGGGATGAGCATTCTTCACTGTCTCCCACAGGAAAGCTAATAGGAAACAATAAAGTCAGTTTTCAGCAAGTTCTGCTTCTGCTATTTACCAGTAAAGGCACTGAGTGGTACTCAGTGAACCAATGCCTTGTTTTATCATTAGTCATTAGGAATAATGATAGCTGCCTCAGGTGGTTGTTAAGGATTAGGAATGATGTGTGTTAAGTGGCTAATACTTACTAAATGATAGCTACAGTCCTATTGTTACTTTGAACAGTCCCACTCCAGTAAGTGACAATGACAAATAGAAGAAGAAGAAAAAAACAGAACAGTAGAAAAGAACAGCTGTGAGATATTTTTTGTTTTTAGACCTGGGGCACAGACATAGGCGACTGACTATGTTGACAATCTGATTGCTTTCATTGTGAAAATATAAAAATATATTTCTGAGTTTTAAATAATTATACACTTTGGAAAGTAAAAATGTTGAATTTTTTTTAAAAAAAAAAAAAGAAAAAAGAAAGTGCCTCCATAAGATAAGGCTGTAGGTCATTTTCTTAATTAGAGATTGATAGGGGAGGGACCAGCTCATTGTGGGGGTGGTGGTCCCTGGGATGGTAGTCCTAGGTTCTATTAGAAAGCAGACTGAGCATGGCATAAGGAGAAAGCCAGTAAGCAGCTCCCCTCCATGTCCTCTGAATCAGCTCCTGCTTTCAAATTCCCGCCCTGTTTGAGTTCTTGCCCTAACTTTCTTCAATGATGAACAGTGTCCTCCCCAAGCTGAAGCTGCTTTTGGTCATGGTGTTTATCCCATCAATAATAGTCACATATTTGATCAAACAATGTTCTGGAAATACTGTGGAGAATTTTAGTTGATATTAAACTTAAATATGAGAAAAGTTGGTTGCTCTCCCTAATGCAGTGAGCTTCAATCAATGACTCGAAGGGCTAACTAGGGCAAAAACATTTACCTGCCTGCCAAGCAAAGAATTACTCCTGTTATATAGTCTTACAACTGTGTCTTGAACTTTTTTTCATTGTCTTAAAACTAGAACTGAAACATTGGCTCTTCTTGAGTCTTGAGCTGTTAACCTTCGGACTGGACTGTGGAATATTCCTTTACACTATGTGAATATATGTCACTGTAATTGGGTTAATAAAGAAATTGACTGGCCAATAGCTGGACAGGATATGGTTAGGTGAAAGAGCCATACTGAGAATGTTGGGAAGAAACACAGAGGGAGCAAGACATGCTGGAGGACAGGTAAAGCCATGAGTCACGTGGCAGAACATAGATTAATAGAAATGGGTTAATTTAAGTGGTAAGAACTAGCTGGTAATCAGTCTGAGCTATAAGTTGAGCATTTATTATTAATATTAAGTCTGTGCATTTATTTTGGAGCTGGTAGTCCTGACTAAAACTCCAACTACACTGGACCTACACAATCAGCTCTCCTGGATGAGGCTTGCTAAATCACCTTTCAGATCTTGGAACTTGATAGTCTTAATAATCATGTGGGCCAATTCTTTATTCTCTCTCTTTCTTTCCCTTTTTTTCCTTCTCATGAATGTACACACACACACACACACACACACACACACACACACACACACACACACTTTCAACCTCCATAGCTTTAAAAACTGATAACAATATATTATTCCCAAGATACCCAAATTCTCTGACGCTCAAGTCACTTACATAAAATGGCATAATATTTGCAGGTAACTAATACATGCCTTCCAATATACTTTAAAACATCCCAGATTTCTCACAACGCCTAAATGCCTAGAACAGGATAAATGTTAAGCCAATGGATTTTTTATAATGTACTGTTTAGAGAATTATAGAATAAAAAACTTCTATATATATGCAAGACAACAAAAATAACTATACATATTACTACACATGGATTAAAAAACAGGGTGAACCATATCCTAAAGATAGATGCTAAGGAAACAGACTAAAGGTCCATGAATTGGGGAGTGTGCTTACACATCACTTCTCTCTCATGGAGCATACTGTAAGTTGTGCAACAACTTTATGCTTGTTTCTTAGAACCTTCTGGAATTGTTTTTCAGATTTTGATTTATTTGGTTGTTTATTGAGACAGGACCTCACACTATAGCACTTCCTTGCTTGGAACTCACTATGTAACCCAAGTTGTCCTTGAACTTGTGGTGGTTGTGCATCTGCCTCCAAAGTCTTAAGAAAACAGATATATGCCACCATGTCTAGCCCTTTTTCAATGTTTCTGAACTATAGCTGGTAATGGATATAGAATATCTGAATGGAGAAGAGGGAGTAAAATATATTCTACTGGTTCGGTTTCTCTGAAGAACTCAATGACACTTTGATAGTCTGAATTTCAAATGGAGAAATGGCCTACCCCATAACTGCATTTTTTAGGTGTTCTGTTGTCTATTCAATCTCATTGACCTTTCACAGGTTCAGATTCTTGACGTTTTCATTAAGTAATGCTGACAAGAAAGACCAAAATTCTAATAATTCTATAAATAACTGTGAAACAACAAATTTTCAGCTTACACCTTTCCGTAGTAATCTTGAATGGGGTACTTAGCCAAATTACAAATTTCCAAGAAATCTTGCTCTACAATAGGAAAATAATTTATCACCAAGAAAACCTCTACTTTCTCTTTTTATAAAATATCAGTTTTCACAGCATTCATAAAATTCATAAAGGAAAATTGAAAATTCTAATAGAATATGGTCCAATTATGAATAAGACATTCAAAAAATGCCAAGAGCTGGTTAACAACAAAACAAAAGGTGTATAAATTCATTCATAACTTAGGAAATATAAAAACTATAAAAATGTGATGTTTTTAACATACTATGCCAATAGAAATTTAAAATTTCCATAGCACTCAGATGTGAAGAACATTCTCATTCACTACTGATGAAATGGTCTTAAAGAGCAACACAACCTGTTAGAATTCAACCGAAAGCCATGTCAAGGTGAAAAATGAAAAACTGTTCTTATATACTCAAAAATCAGTGAATATAAAGGAATACAAACAGATTAGTAATAAATAGAGACTGTCATACAGCTCAATAAGAAAATAAACACTTGTAAAAAAAAATCACACCCTGCAAATTGATTTTAGGTTTACTTTGGAGGAAGGAAAGGCATATTTTAATGAGAAGACAAGAGCGTAACTATTTTTATAATCGTGTATACGATGCTAACAATGACTGCACAACTTTCATCTTAAAAGGCAGAGAAAAGTCCCACCTGATTTTTTCAAGTAGTGCTTAACAATTGACGAAATTCCTTGCGGTGCTACAAAGTTGCAATCTCCTTCTTGAACTTTCATTCCTTCAATAGGAGAGGTCAGAGGCTCCAAAATCCCATGAGCTAACAGCTCCTCATAAAACCTGAAATAACCATATGGAAATGAATAGTGTGATTAGCTCTGTAACCACTGTCTTGTCTTCGAAAAAAATCAAATCACACTATAAATCCTCATACAATAAACTCACTGTTAACTGTGTTAAAACAAACTTGTAATTTGGGGAAAGAGCAAAAATCTTCCAAGAATCTGTAAATCTTCTACTTACATTATAGCTAATTTCAATTTCAAGTCCTATTTCTCTACATAAAAGTGAAGTCAAGAAAAATATTTGCTCCATTTAAATGTGCTTAGAAATATTGACTTTCATTGCTCTTTGTCATCTTCAACACTAACAGTTAATAAAATGTATTGAGCCTTTTTTGTTGTTTCATAGATAATATTATACAGTCTTCACAAGGATCATAAGAACATTTCACTGTCATAGCAATGTTTCAAAATGTGTTAGAAAGGATGATTGTTTTGTTTTACATCATACATCTATCTACTAAGACTCCAGAGGAGTGACTAACTTACTCTTGATGCTTTTTTGCATAATGAGGCGTGCGGGTGATGTACTGAGCTCCCAAGTCAGCTGTGCATCGGGGATTATGAGGACTCTTGGTAGTAATCATTCTTCCCCCTTAGAATAATTCATAAGAAATTGTCAGTGCATAGAATGAACCTTTTTGAAATTGTACAACTCAACCCTAGCTAGCCTGGTGGCTTTATTGTCTTTGTCCAGATATGTTAAAAACATGATTAATCTAAGTTGAAGTTTTTATCGTTGCATATTGTCCTGGGTATTTGGTCATTGTAATTTTTTTATTTGAATAAAAAAAAGACTCGTGAATGTTGTACTACTGCCCTACAGTGTTACTAGTACATATTGTGTTAACCTGAACGCCCTACAGTGTTACTAATACATATTGTGTTAACCTGAAGAAACGAACGAAACAATGGACAAATAAGTCGAAATGAATGAAATGCCAGAATGACTAAGGAAGGCTCCCGTCAGGACGTTCAGTCTAGCCATTTGCAAAGTCTTGATCAGGGGAACGCGAGTCTACAGACTCTGCAGAAAGCTGCCAAGGCTCAGAGCGGCCTCGCTGGGCCCACAATGACCTGAGGCGTCCTCCTGGGCAATGCTCCCTGACCCGCCATTCTCGGGCTCCACCGGGACCTCCACTCGCGCGCACCCAGCCTTCCCGCTGCGGCAGCCACGGGTCACGTGACGCCGTGACGGCGCGCGCTCCCACCGCGGCCCAAGGCCGGGCTTTTCCCCTCCAAGCGGCGGGGTGCCGGCCTACAGCTCCAACGACGAGGAAGTCCGCCCTCCTGCTCCCGCCCTCCCTCCGCTCACCTGCGTCCCCAGCCCTGTCCCACAGCGCGAGGTACAGCGGGCCGGCGATCGCCTTCCTCAGCAGCGCCGCGCACAGACTTCCGGTCAGCCCGGCGCCCACCACCAGCACCCGGAGCATGGCGGCGGCGGAGGCTCGGAGTGTCGCCGGCTCGCGCGGCCACCGTGTCCCTGCGACCGTCAGGATTGTGCCCTGGGCGGGCCGCCTGCGCCGGAGAGGGCGGGGAAGCCCGCAGCGGTGACCGAGACCGAGACCGAGACAACCCGCCCGGCCTGCACAGGAGCTCGCCGGGTGAGCCCTGAAGCCCATTGGCCCCTGGAGAAAGATCTGGAAGGCACAGCCTCGGCCTGGGCCTCGGAGGAGGACTGCAGTGAGGGGAGGAAACAGCGACCATGGATGCCACAGCTGGGTTTCTTCTGGAGCCTTATAGGCCACTTCTGATGACAGAAAGGGATTTTGGTTACAGTAGTTCAGAGACTACAAATTATGTGTTTCCTAATGTTGGCTCCTCCATCTATGAAGATGTGGAAAATAATGCATCCTTTCCAAATCTGTGAAGAATACAGATACTTGGTTCACCAGGAAATTTTACATCGCTTACGACGTCAACAAATGCTAACTCCTGTGTCCAAATGGATTCACTGTGCACCAAGGGATATAATGTGAAATGGATTCTGCCACCACTGGCCTATCTTCAACTTTGTCCTAAAAGTTCTCAATGAAACAAAAAGAAATGAAAAATAGGAAGCATTAAAACAAATTGTTACCTGAAAAATGTGGAACCTTGGCAATAGTGGTCAATAGCAATAAACATTTAAAAATCAAGTTTTGCTTAATGTCTACATGATAACAAACATTTCCATGAATCAGATTTCTATTTGATCAGTTCTTTTGTTTAGCTAAGAAAAGAACTGGAAGAAAGTATGGTTGAACATAGGTGCCCTAAGAAGACATGTAAGCATTGCAATAAAAGAACAGAAAATGGATTTAATGCATAATGATTTGTAACTTTTTACAAAGTACAAATAATGTTATTGTGTGAAAATGAATTTCTTATAAAAGTCACAAAAGACACAAATAACAACACCAAAGAAGTATTGTAAATCAAATAGATTTCTAAAAATAAAAAGGACCACAAAATTCAATAAAGATATCTTTAACCGTTCTATATTAAAAAAAATAAGGAGTGGATCTGGGGGAGAGGGAAGGTAGTGAGGAACTGGAAAGAGTGGGGTGGGGAGAAACTGCAGTTGGGAAGTACTGTATGAGAGAAGAATACATAAATATGTTAGAAAATAAAATTGTGAAAAGATTTAAAGGTGGCCAGCAAATGTCCAAGAGTCAGGTAAGACTTAGACTTCGTATCACTACCCTCATTTGTATGTATCTTCTTTACTCTCTTCTCTCAGTCATCTTAGGCTCCAGGAAAGCTCTGATGGATGGGCATCTGTAATGAGAAAGGAAACTTCAACCTCAAACAACAATGGTTTTCTTACGGAGATCAGAGCCACCTTGGCAATCCTGAGATATTGATCAATCAGACACAGGTTGTCCAAAATAGATGAGCTCCATGCTTATGTTCTCTGCCTCGACCTCTCCTGTTGGAAGGTCTGCAGAGGGGCTGAGACCTCAGTCTCTCTCTTCCACATTAATTGATTAAAATCCTCCCATGCACTTTCAGCATGACTTGTTTACTGTTTTTTAAAATATTTATTTATTATGTATACAATATTCTGTCTGCGTGTATGCCTGCAGGCCAGAAGAGGGCACCAGACCTCATTACAGATGGTTGTGAGCCACCATGTGGTTGCTGGGAATTGAACTCAGGACCTTTGGAAGAGCAGGCAATGCTCTTAACCTCTGAGCCATCTCTCCAGCCCCTTGTTTACTGTTTTGAAGTGAGTGACTGGACCTACTTTACTGATCCATTTCAACTACAGGCCTCCATTAGGACTCTGGTAATGAAATGGTAGTCCATGTTAGGAATTCCTTCTTAAAACACTAGAAGCCTATGTTTGTTAAGGATACAGCAAAAAAATACGAGCCACTCAAGCATAATGGATATATTTTCAGGAATACAGTTTGGCAGTATGTATGAATATGTTGTCTTATTGTGTTTCACATAGAAACTCGTTGTTTTGTAACGCATTGAAGGGTTTGTACACCCCACAGTGATATTTGAGCAAGTTTGTTTGGTATCATTTTATCAGTACCCCCCTAATCATTACTCTCAACTATAGTTTTAAAGGCATATGAATTTTTGACATGCTATTATTGTATGCTTCATAGACCATACTGTTTCATAAACCCCCAAATTTACATCTCTTACTTTATTATATTTGTTTTATTGAGATAGGTGGTCTCAAAAGTCTTAAAGCTGTCAAACTAGGTATTTTTTCCTGGGAAAAAGAATATATAGGTATAACTTAAACTTTGTAATATATTTAGTGCAGTGCTCCTAGGAACACTGAAGTATACAATAAATAGATGGTTAGATATGGCTATCTTTATATCCATATTAAAGACACCAAAAAGATGTATGTAAAACTACTTCCTAATGTTGAGTAACAAGGCTACAAAATAGTATAATCCCACACTTTTATAGATGCGCATACATATACAATATTACAGAAATATCAGAGGGGACATACACAATTTCAAATGTATTATAGATAATATATATAACCATTTGATTCCTAGCTATAAGTAATAAAGCTAACATGCTTGAAAGAGATGATAAGCCACTGCTTTCAGGTTTATTATATTATGAGAAATTTTCCGAAATTAAAAGTGTAAAATGTATCAAAATTGTCTAATAGTAAAATGTATTTCAGGCCATTGATTCTGACTGTTATCTGACCAGTCTACATGGTAAATGCAAACATTTAAGTTTAAGGAAGTTTGTCCAGGCTTATATATCATGCCAATAGTAAGCACCAAATCGGTGTCATGATCTATCCTTGGAGCCTGCTTCTCTGCACCGTGCCATCTCTTTTTTTGCTCAATTTCTGTAACAGTCAATCACCTCCGACAACTAGGCTGAAATTTTACAGGCCTCTCCCAGTACTAATACTTTCTCATCCTTGGTATTGATTAGTCCTCAGGTCTTTTTGATGTTTTCTCCGTTGTCTTTTGTTTCTGATTTCATGGAATTGTAGAACAGAAAAAGTATCTTAATTACATTTCTGTTGAGGAGGTATTAAGGTGCCTGGGGGCTCTTTTCGCCTTATTGACATTCCCAATTTCGAAAAGCAATTGCTTCAGAGTGTTTTATTACTTGAACTCAAGCAATCATTAATTTTTACCCAAATTAGCACAGTCATTCTCTAACTGGTTTTCTTGTTCCCAGTGTCTGTTCTGAACTTCCCTTCTAGAGCAATCATTATTGGTTCCACAACCTTCCCAGCTCTGGATGGCAGATAGTGTTAAGTTCTACTCTGATTACATTAGCCTAAAAAGTATCAAATGGTATTTCTATGATACATCTTAACAGTTTACTTTGGTGTCTTTATATTTCCCATGATTTAGCTAATGGAATTTCCATTTCCTGAACTCATATCCACATTTTTCCACAGTCTGCAGCAATGGAAGACCTTTGTTTGTGCTCTTTGTTATATTTTGATTTCCATTTGAATTTGACATTAATCTTACACTTTTTTCTTTTAATTTTTCTGCTTATGATAAACAGTGGGTTCTTGTGATTTGTTCAGAATTAGAATTTGATACAGCCATCGAATAGAGGTAGCATTAATGATTTGAGAGTTCTTATTACTTTTTACTTTTGTGTTGCAGCGGGAGAGAGCTGCTTGTTAGTCCTGGCTGCCCTACTAACTTACTCTCAAAATAATCATACAGAAACTGTATTTATTAAATCACTGCTTGGCCCATTAGCTCTAACTTCTTATTGGCTAACTCTTATATCTTAATTTAACCCATTTCTATTAATCTGTGTATCGCCACGAGGCTGTGGCTTATCAGATAAAGTTCTGGAGTCTGTCTCTGGCAGGGCTACATGGCTTCTCTCTGACTTGCCCTTTTTTCTCCCAGCATTCAGTTCAGTCTTCTCTGCCTACCTAAGTTCTGCCCTATCAACAGGCCAAGGCAGTTTCTTTATTCATTAATAGTAATCACAGCACACAGAGGGGACTCCCACTTCAACTCTAGAGTGGGTTATAATCTTAGTCCAGAGCTATTCATCAGATAGTAGCCCACGGTTGACTGCTTGCACTGATGAGAGGTGTGGATGACACTATAACCTAAAGAAAACTTTAGTTGCAAAACCAGCTGAAACCTTTTCCTGTTCGAATATATTTACTCTATCTAGTTTCTTTTACCTTGTTTAATTGCCAATCTTTGCAAGGTTGTCATCTTTTGTTTATTAAAGTCACATAAAAATGATTATCTATAGCATTTTACCTAAAATAGCCACCCAGTGACTCCATATGTTAATAATCCATTTTAATGTCTTTTTCTCATTTAATCACTTGTAGACATTATCCTGTGTTGTACATGTTTTTTTATTCACTGTCGTTCTCCTATAAAATTGTTTTTGTGTGATATTTTGATCGCATTATGACAATAAAGTTTGCTTTGAGTCGGAGGACAGCTAGCTAGCCACTAGCTGACCTAAACTAACCACAGAAGGTTGGAGGACTGTGGACAGATAAGAAAAAGGAAGTAGTAAAATGGGACTGAGAGAGGATCTCAATCCTTGTGGATGGACGAACGGAAGAGATGGAAAGTCACTGGTGGATGCTCTACTGCGTCTCTGATCTCTCAGGTTTATTGATAAAGAATAATTAGATAAATGCATCACATTACCATTATAGTATCCCTGGAAACTAGAATCAAAGAGTTCTCAGACACTGAAGTTCATTATTTTTAAAGAAGATATACTTGATTTTTAAGATAATATCTAATTCAGTTTAATGATTTATAAATTTCCCAGAGAATGCTTTTTAATTGTATAACATCACTTTAAAAATATATAAATGCCATTCAGTAAAGAACATACCTCACAGGTTATTTGTTACATAGCTCTCTGACCTTATTTAACTGTGTTATTGATTACTTGATTTAGCTATATTATTAGTAAATCAGATAATCATTGATGGCACAAGTGGTATAAAATCAGGATGGATCCTGTATAAATGATAAAACTAATGTTTTAAAATTATTTACAGGGCTGGAGAGATGGCTCAGTGGTTAAGAGCACTGACTGCTCTTCCAGAGGTCCTGCGTTCAATTCCTGGCAACCACATGGTGGCTCACAGCCATCTATAATGAGATCTGGTGCCCTCTTCTGGCGTGCAAGCTTGCATAAAATTATTTACAAGCTGTCTATGCAATTAATATCTAATTGAGTTAGACTTTAATCTATATCTAGAAAACAATTTTGCAAAATGAGGGGAGAGTACTTATGATTTCATTATCCAAGTTCATTATGAATGAACCTACATTATGGTAATGCACAGGAATAGAGAACTGATGACCCACAGCATTTGTATAGACCAGATCAATACTATGTTTGGTAGTGTTGGGTTCCATATTTTAAAATTGCCATGCAGAAACTGGTCGTCTTTCAAATAAAAAGCTGATTTAAA